TATATATATATATAAATGATATCTGATATAGATATCCGCATATCTGATTTCAAAATCTTAATTTTAAAGTTAAAGAAGATTTGTTCATAATTACAATATTCACGCTTTGATTCTCTTACTTTTTGCATGAACCCAGTTAAAATTTTAAAATACAGATGTTTATTTCTATGTGCATAATATTTTAATCCAAATAATGATCCAGACTCAAATGTAGCGCAGTGTAATTGATGATAAAGACTTCATTAGCTTAAAAAAATATGAAGATAAAAATAAATGTCGACATCTTTCAAGCGTTCAAAAATAAGCACCCATTTTCAAGACTCCACAGGACTGAATGACTTGTGACATAAATTTTTGAGCTCTCAAAGCAAGTCTCCTTTTATTGTTGTCGATTTATTTTTTGAAGTCAGTGAAGTTTTTATCTTTTCGTCTTAGTTTCTTAAGATTATTAATTTGGTAACACAGAATATTAAATTGCTTTTCGCAATATTCAAATAATTTTTATGTAAAATGATTGCATAGGCCAGTGTTTCCCAAACTTAAGACTTTTGTGTACCCCTTCTAAATTTTTTGTAACGCTGTGTACCACTAATAAAAAAATGAATTGATTTTTTTACTACAAAAAAATTGCACAAAAATTAAAAAGCACTACCGACTGTTGACACCACTAATTATTAACTGTTAACTCTACTAACAATAGCCAGTAGAAAATATGTAATCGTAAATTTTCATGGCTAACTTTGTTTTTAAATAAAATTTTTTAAAATTTCGTTTGTTGCAAGATATTTCGCATAAGAACGCGTACCCCTTCTAAAATGTTCCCGTACCCCTGGGGGTACGTGTACCACACTTTGGGAAACACTGGCATAGGCTATTAGATAGAAAATAATAATAATTAGTCACTATTAAAAATAAATGCAGTAAAATTTTTTTTACTGTTAACCTTAAAAACATTTTCTAAGGGCATCAAAAAAATTCCCATTACATTTAAAATTCAAAAAGTCCAATGAGAAAATGGAATGTCCTGTAGCACCAGGACTCATAGTTGAATAGTTACAAGGACAGTTATTTCAAACAAGTTAATGTTTCCGTCCTGCTCTAAATTGTTTCAAAATGTATTTTATATTGATCGATTTTATTTACCTAAGTGTATTTTATTTTATTCAAAATAAGTTCAAAAATTGCAGTTTTTTTAGTTAATATTTCAATTCAGATGATGATTCTAAAAATAGTTTGACTTAGGAATCTTTTTACAATTTCCCATTTTTAGTATTTGCAGTTTAACAAAATAAGTCATTTTCTTGATAATAAATTATACTATAATAATATTTTGTGAATTGTGCAAAATTAATTTTTTTTTAAAAGAGTAGCTTTATTAAAGAACGGTTTAGTATATATAAGTTTAAACATCAAAATAAATTTGCAGTTTAAAAAACAATGCTAGCAGTTGTGGGTTTTTGAGTTGCACTAATATGTATTTACTTTTCACAACTCAAACAAATAAGAAACAATAAATTAGCTAAATAAATAATTTATTTGTTCATTCTTTGAGAAAAGGATGCACTTATTTAATACGATCAGTCAGGCGTTTTCACAGAGTAATTTTAATATAACAAAATGTTCTTAAATTCTTACCAGCCTAATGGCCATAAATCTGAAACTCAAAAAAATTTTAACGGAACAAGTGTTAATTTAAAGAAAAACTTTAAGTACTCGTAAAAATTTAAAAAAATAGAGTAGTATATTATCGGGAAAAAATTTATGTGGTAGTATAAAAAAAGAAAATTGAAAAAAAAAGCAAAAATATAATGAAATAATTGGTTGAATAGTTTTGGAAATCACAAGTGGCCATGTAATTAATAATTTAATTTTAAAATCAAGATTCTTGGATGATATATAAGATACTGAGATATTTTAAGAAGCTTAAAAACTTTAGCTACGTAATCGACAGGTCTTTATGTTTGGCGCCTTTATACTCTTTGTAGTGACTTTAAAAACATCAATAATATTTCAAATAATTGTAGTTGATGTCACAAGAGTTTAGTTCGAGATGATATAAAGATATCATTTACGTAACTAGTATCTTCATTTATATTTTTATTGTTTAGCTATTAAAAATTTATTAAACAATTGATAAATGTATTATTCCTAATAAATGCATACTTATGCACATTACCGAAAGTGAATCAATTCTGGAATGAATCAATAAAAAACTAAAATTAAAAAAAAGTAGATGCATAACCACATTTAATCAAAGACATATTTTTATAAAATTTAACGTAATATTTTATTCAAATCTATTTACTAAATTAAGTCTAAATTAGCAGACCACTTAAAATAAAACATAATTTATAATTAGAAAAAAGAAAAAAAACATCGAATCAAAACAACAAAAATTCATGAATGAAATTTATGCTAGACTTGTGAGTTTACTAAATTTAGGCATTAATCACTCCTTTTAAATATTTTTTTCATTTTTGCCAAATTATTTCTTTAAAAACAATTGAAACTTTAGATTTCACTGTAGGAAAGTATGTAGATTATTATGGTATAAAGAAAATTTATGACTCATAATTCAAAATATTTTCATCCAGTGTTATATGGAATTCATCCAGTGTTATAAAGAATTCTTAAAAAAAAATTTCTTCATGAAATTGTCTTAGGGTAAGCGAGTTTCATGAGTGGGTGCAATTTTTTTAAATCGCAGCAGTTACTTTTAAAGATATGAACAAAAATGCAAATTAAAATTAAAGGACCGAACTTTCAATCGCTCTCCTGACTAAGCTATTAGGACCACAATTTCCAGATTGCGGCAACTCCTCCAATTATGAAGGGTAGAAATACAATTATGTAAACACAAGTATATGCTTATTCAAAGAATGTGCGTTTTTGTGTCTGATTTATGTCCACTTGGAACCATTAAGATTGACACTCAGTCTGTAAAAATCCAACCTTTCGAACGAAAATTATTCGGAGTGATATCTTTTTTATTTTTTCGCACTGTACATAAGTACCCACAAAGTTTTATTTTATTTTACTTTTGTTATTTATTTTTAGGTCCAAGGGGTGGTGGTAGTAGCCACTCTGGCAAAAGGTTCAAAGAACATAAAGGAGGTGGCAAGAATCGAGGTGCTTTTGATGCTGCCGGCTCTTACTAAAATTATGTGCTTGAAATGTTCCTTTATTTCTGCCATAACATTATTTTCCTGTTTGCTCTTAAATGTAGTTTGAAATTTAAGTAATATAATAATATTTTTTTAAATAATAAAAATTGACCTTATTAGCTAAATTCAACAGTTTTCAAATTTCTTTTTGGAAGAAAATAAGATTAATAAATAGTCTTTTATGTTTTTTTAAACAGTTAATATTTTTCTTTTTAAAAATACTTTTCTAAGTCAGAATTTGAAATTTATTGTGTTACATTGTAAATAATATTAACTAATGCTTCTTCTACAATGAAATATTTCATTTCTCTCAACAACAAAAAAATTGCCGACATGCATCTATCTCTCTCTCTTTTTTTTTTTTGTTTTTTTTTTTTGAATAATAATGTGCATTTGAATAGTGTCTGACTGTATACTGTTTGTTTTTACACCCAGTAATGTGAAAATATTTTTATCATTTATTAATGCCATATAAAGAAATAAACTTTTTATAAAAATATATTTTATTCTATTTTATTTGCTTATTCAATTTTCAGGAGATCCCAAAAATGACCTACGGTTTGCAAAATCATTTAAATAAAAACAGAAGGAGGCATGTTCAGTTTACTATATCTTACTAAGAAAACAACGATATTTATTTCGCAAAGTTTAAAAATTAGTGACCAGCGTGAACAGATGACGTTGCCGACCAGGAAATACTATGAAATAATATTTTACTTTGGTAACGAAGAATTGAGATATCAATCTAGTCGGCAGTCTTAAGTATAAACGTTTTAATATATGTGTATACAATTTCTTAAATAAAAATTACTTCTATTCAACGTTTTCACGATTCATCCAACCACAATCTATTTCGGCGTACCGCCGGTCCGTAGCGTATGAAATCTCCATTCATTTTACATATATGATAAAATTCTTGCTTGTTCATGTGCATACAATGAGCTGGATTTGATGGAAAGGATTCTTGCACTCTTGTGTGCAAGTCTGCTGTATTTTGCAAGAGTTTCTCAATTGTGGTGTGGATCTCATTTTCTGCCCTCTGAAATCGAACGGAAAAATCTCATTGTCTATTTCATAAACTTTGTAATTTTTTTTGCTTATTAGAATAAGAAAATTTTGTTTCTCTTATTAATTTCATCGTTGATGTAGCGCATTCTTATTCTTCATTATTGACAATATTCATTATTGNAGTCGGCAGTCTTAAGAATGGACGTTTTAATATACATGCATAAAATTTTTTAAATGAAAATTACTTCTATTCAACGTTTTCACGATTCCTCCAACCACAATCTATTCGGCGTAATCTTCAATCATTTTACATATATGATGAAATTCTTGCTTGTCCATGTGCATACAATGAGCTGGATTTGATGGGAAGGATTCTTGCACTCTTGTGTGCAAGTCTGCTGTATTTTGCAAGAGTTTCTCAATTGTGGATCTCATTTTCTGCCCTCTGAAATCGAACGGAAAAATCTCATTGTCTATTTCATAAACTTTGTAATTTTTTTTCCTTATTAGAATAAGAAAATTTTGTTTCTCTTATTAATTTCATCGTTGATGTAGCACATTCTTATTCTTCATTATTGACAAACTAATGGCTTTCTCGTTCTTTTGTATTTATAGATCAGTACCGTAATCCTGAAACTAGACTTGGGGAACATTCACTAATTACGTTTTCTCATGTGGGTCCCCAGAGTAATAAAGAGTCACAAAGCTTCATCTCCTCAAAATTTCCATCTCCCTTTTATTCATTTAATTTAGTGAAGATAAGAGTAAGAATTTTTACTCGAGGTACTATCCACCAATTTCATAAAATTTTTCTAAACTTTTATTGTACTTTATTATTTTTTTTAATTACTTTATATTATTTTATAATTACTTTTTATTGTATTATTACTTCTAAAATTTTTAGTTCTCTTTAATTGTTTTTTGGAAAAACTCAATAATATTTAGACGCAAAATTTTTAAAAAAGTATGAAGTGAGGGGCTTTCACTATTTTAAAAAGGGCAAAAAATCTTATTTTATTCATATTTGTAATTCCAAAAAACTTTAATTTATCTCTTAATGATTTCAGTTAAGAACAATTAAAAAAATTAATTTAACCGTCTTAGATTTTTTAAATATTATAGGAATGGGGACCATATAATAATTTAGTGCAAAAATTTTTAGCTTCAATACTTATTGTATTTACATTTCAAAATTATTTAAACTTTTTTTTTATCATTTCATTAAAAAAATACTGAACCAAGTAACAAATTTTGATGAAAATTCATTTGCATTCATTCACTAATATAATTTTTTTTAAAATATCATAATTAAGATGTGCTAAAATTCTTTGCGCATATCTTAATTATGATATTTTTTTTTAAATGCTTAAAAATATTCTTTAAGTGCTTAAAAGGTGCTTATTATTTGTTGAAAAATTTGGCTACGCACTCTGTTGTAGTTTAGATTTATATTTCCATTTAAACGATGCGGAAACTTTATTAAACACTTAAACTAATAATCAAATTTTCATAATTATTATGTTATGTAGGTTTAATGATAATTTAGAGCTATATTTTAGTTATAAAATGATGCTTTGTAATTGCCGTGGGAGAAAGATGCATGGAATCGACAAAGATCGAAAGACTAAAACACTTCCCTAGCAATAATTTCACCTTGGGGCCCCAGTTGGTTTCAAAATTGTCACGATATGGTCCTATAAGGACTTTCACCGAGGGAACAATATTGGGATGTCTAGATTTTTTAACATTGGTTATAGAATGGCCTACATTGGCTGAATAATGGATAAAAAAAATCGGGTGAATCGGAAAATTCTATTTAGAGCAGGGATGTGATTCTTTTGCGGATTCCCGCTTTTTCAGATTTTTCCCACTAATTTCCGCGGAAAATTTTTTTTGCGCAAGTTAAAATATTTTATAAGGAATTTAATTTTCCGCGGAGCGAAGGTATTGAAATTCTCATTCCTTCCTCTGAAGTTTCTCTAAAAATCATTTCCTTGGGATAAAACTGGTTGACCTTTATGAGATTTTTCGCGCTTCTCTCTCTTGAATTTCAGCCTTTTTATCAAGAACTCCGATTCTCTAAAAGTTTTGGTTTTTTTTAATATAAATATCCCGCTTTTTTGTGAAAATTCATTATTGAAATAAAATAATTATATTTATTTATGATTTTCAAAGATAAACAGAAAATTCAAACTACGTCCTAGCTGCTAACCCTTCCGCCTTGTTACTTATTTTAGCTATTTTCTCCGATTTCACGAACAGAAAATATGATTTTCCGTATTTTTATCCGTCTGCCGGATAGCTCGTATTTTCGTAATTCAGACGTCGCTGCTTCCTGTTTTTTGGCGGGAAAGCAAACGAAAAAAAATAGAGGTGGATTTGCTGTGAAAATATTAATTTGCTCATTCAATTAATCTTGTAAATTTTTATTTATTATGTCTAAACAAAGACAATACAAACAAGCCTTTTAGAAATCCCAAGTCCAGACTGTGAGAATATCTCGATTCTTATTCAAGCGATTTTAATATCAATCGTATTTACCTAATTTAAAAGTTGCGCATTGTGATTCTTATTTACGTTATTTAAATATCGTACATTATGATTCTTATTTACGAGATTTAAAAATCCAATATCGCGTTCTGTTTTTATGCATTTTTAAAATCGCGATTTTATTATCAAACATCGATTTTCGTATTTACCTGATTTAAAATTTGCGTTGCGATTCTTATTCAGGCGTTTTAAATATCGTTCATTGCGATTCTTATTTACGANTTCATTATTGACAAACTAATGGCTTTCTCGTTCTTTTGTATTTATAGATCAGTACCGTAATCCTGAAACTAGACTTGGGGAACATTCACTAATTACGTTTTCTCATGTGGGTCCCCAGAGTAATAAAGAGTCACAAAGCTTCATCTCCTCAAAATTTCCATCTCCCTTTTATTCATTTAATTTAGTAAAGATAAGAGATGATTGAGATTTTTAGTCGTAAGAATTTTTACTCGAGGTACTATCCACCAATTTCATAAAATTTTTCTAAACGTTTGTTGTACTTTATTACTTTTTTTAATTACTTTACATTATTTTATAATTACTTTTTATTGTATAATTACTTTTAAAATTGTTTGTTCTCTTAAGTTGTTTTATAGAAAAACTCAGTAATATTTAGACGCAAAATTTAAAAAAAGTGTGAAGTGAGAAGCTTTCACTTTCACTATTTTAAATGGTGCAAAAAATCTTATTTTATTCATATTTATAATTCCAAAGACTTTAATTCATCTCTTAATGATTTCATTTAAGAACAATTAAAATAAAAAAAATTCAACCATCTTAGATTTTTTAAATATTATAGACCATATAATAATTTAGTGCAAAATGGCTTAGCTTCAATACTCATTATATTTACATTTCAAAATAATTTAAATTTTTTTTTTATCATTTCATGAAAAAAAAAACTGAACCAAGTAACAAATTTTGGGACCATTCACTAATATAATTTTTGAAAAAATATCATAATTAAGATATGCAAAAAAATTTTGCGCATATCTTAATTATGATATATTTTTTAAAGTGTTAAAAAAAATTTTTTGATTGCTTAAAAAGTGCTTATTTTTTGTTGGAAAATGTGGCTACGCACTCTGTAATAGTTTAGAATTATATTTCAATTTAAACGATGCTGAAACTTTATAAAACTCCAAACTTTATAATCAAATTTTCGTAATTATTATGTAATACAGGCTTAATGATAATTTAGAGCTATATTTTAGTTATAATGATGCTTTGTAATTGCCATTTGAGAAAGATACATTGGATCGACAAAGATCGAAATTCTCTCTTTTTTTTTTTTCAATTTCCTTGCATTTTACTTTGATTTTTATTCATTTTAAGCGTAAGTTATACATATCTTAAAATGAAGATTATGTTGTGCCAAAAACACAAGTTTATAGTTTTGTATATATAAAATCATACTGTATATAAATTGAACGAAATGCTTATAATTCAGAGTTTTGACAGATTGAATATCTTACTAATTTTTTGAAATATATTTTAAAAAGAGCACCCATTAGAGCTAGACTAAAACACTTCCCTAGCAATAATTTCACCTTGGCCCCAGTTGATTTCAAAATTGGCCAACACCTACTAGAAGGTGGTTATGAATTGTCACGATATGGTCCGATAAGGACTTGCACCGAGGGAACAATATTGGGATGTCTAGATTTCTTAACATTGGTTCTAGAATGGCCTATATAGGGCCTACATTGGCTGAATAATGGATACAAAATATCAGGTGAATCGGAAAATTCTATTTAGAGCAGGGATGTGATTCTTTCGCGGATTTCCGCTATTTTTCCCACTGATTTCCGCGGAAATTTTTTTTGCACAAGTTAAAATATTTTATAAGGAATTTAATTTTCCGCGGAGCGAAAAGTATTGAAATCCTCATTCCTTCCTCTGAAGTTTCTCTAAAAATCATTTCCTTGGGATAAAACTGG